TGATAATGATGGTGACAATGACAGTGGTGATGGTGATGACGGAGGAGATGATAATGATGGTGACAATGACAGTGATGATGGTGATGGCGGAGGAGATGGTGATGATGATGATGACGGTGATGATGATGACAATGATGATGGTGACGATGATGGTGATGGTGATGACGACAATGATGGTGGTGACAGCGACGATGGAGACGATGAAAGTGATTATATCAACAGTGATAGTGACCAGGAAAATAACAATCAAGAACCACAATTTAATGATGCAAATGAAATGGAAGAATTTGTTGTGAACGGTGTTAGGGAATGGGCCCGTGGTGCTGGTGTGCTCTCCATGCGTAAGCTTGATCAATTGCTAGCCGTTCTGCATCGTGTTCACCCTACTTGACCCCTTTCATATAAAACCCTTCTGAGTACCCCAATCAATGAGGAAGTTCGAGACGTTGCAGATGGACAGTTATGGTATAAAGGCATCCAAGCCAACTTGCAAACTTTAGATCTAGAAGCATATCTTAATAGATATGGTTGTGTTGAAATAGATATTAATGCAGATGGACTACCTCTATTCAAAAGTTCTCGTGAGCATTTTTATTGTATTTTGGGAAGACTTGTAGGTTCTAAAAATCAACCTTTTATTATTGCACTCTTTCTTGGAGATAAAGAACCAAACTCCCATGATGTATTAGATGACTATGTGGAAGAATACAATCACCTGAGACACAACGGTTTCAATAGCAGAGGAAATGTGTATGAATTTAAAGTTCGGCACTACATTTGTGATGCTAAAGCAAGAGCCCAATTAAAATGCATAACTTCACATGCTGGCTACTTTGGATGTGAGAAGTGTGAAGTTGAGGGTGTGTATCTTAATTTTCGAATGACTTTCTGTGACTTGGATGCACGTCTACGAACCGATCAGTCATTCAGAGATCAAGATAATGAAGAGCACCATGTTGGCGAATCTCCTTTGCTTAACACTGACTGTCGTCTCGTGTCTCAATTCTGATTGGACGGATTACACCTAATTTATATGGGTGTGTATAAGAGATTAATTGGTGCATGGATCCGATGGATTGGTCCCTGGAGATTGTGTGCAAATGCTATTGCTCAGATTTCGGAGAGGCTTCATATGCTACGAGCTTCATGTCCATCAGACTTTAATCGCAAACCAAAGTCATGGCTAGAACTTCCATTCGTCAAAGGCACTGAATTTCGGAGGTCATTATTGTATGATGGCCTCCTAGTTTTCCGAGGTGTACTTGATAACAATGTCTATCAGCACTTTCTGCTTCTACACTGTGGTATTTATATTTTGAACAGTTCTGTGTACTACAATACTAAAAATGACCTTACTAAAGAGATGTTAAGACTGTTTATTACTCACAGTATTGCTATTTATGGTCGCATGTTTGTGGTTTATAATGTGCATTCTATGAGCCACTTAGGTGAAGAGTGTGCCCAACATGGCCCAATGGACACCTTTAGTGCTTTTGCATTTGAAAACAGGTTGAAATCTCTGAAACAATCCCTCAAATCTGGCTTTAAACCATTGGCCGCTGTTATTGACAGTCACGACTGCGCAGAGCGACTGTCAACTTGTTCGCAGTCAATGCTGTCAATAAGTACACTAGAGTTACTCACAGCTAGAACTGTGTATAAAGTGGAGAAGACTATTCGCAGTCTTGACTGCGATTAGGCGCCAGAACTATTATACATAGTCATGACTTTCAATTTTGAATAGAATTTTATTCGCAGTCAAAAACTTGGAACTTGTTTATATTTTCCCATTAGTATCCAACGATATAAAGACTATGGATCATGAGATGACCGACAAGTGGCCTGGAAAGTAATTGCAGCTAGACACTCAGCGATAAAGTTATAAAATTTGCTGCGGGGAGGGGGGCAAGAGCGTCCAAGAGCTTTTCGTGCGCTCCTGTTTAACTGACCGATGCAGGCCTCTGCTCCGTCCTACCCTGGAGGAAGGGAGCACGCAGTAAAGTCTACCGCAGCCTGAGGCCCGCTCGCCGGCCACCACGAGCACCTGCAGGGAAGGATCGAACATTCCTGGCCTACCGAGCCGCCACACCCATCCGCCCACGCGGCGCCCGCGCCCCGTACACGCAGGGAAGGACAGTAGTGCGCATGTGGCACGCGCTTTAGCATGCAGCTGCGGTGCGAGTAATAATACCGGGTGTCCAGGCTAAGACATGAAATTACGTTGGGGTTGCCTATGCACTGGCTGCAGGCGCGGGGTGTTAGCGGGGGATCGGCAGCTCCCCTACCAGTCCCCCGCCCCTGCACCCAGTGCATAGGCAACCCAACGTAATGTCATCTTAGCCTGCACCCGGTAACGTTCAAAGTTCATGCTTTCTCTCCATGGCAGTTCTCGTCCTGATGTAGGCTGGCGCCGTCCTTTCGCGCTGCGGCAGTGCGCCGGCAGTGCCTGACGTCGGCGTCCTCCGTCCTCGCGTTTGACTATCACAACATCGACTCTATGAGCTCAGGCCGTGGCCTACGTGGGGAGCATGGAGACAGTTATTCTCCATGTCGTCTAGGTCTAGCTGGGTCGAGTTCGGCCAGAAAGTACTGCCGTTTTCCTCAAATTCATTGGGGAAATAACATGAGCTCAGCGCCTGCGAGACTCGGGGAAGGCCAGCCCGCAGTATACGCATGCACTGCAGGGGCGCTGTTTGCCGTCCCCGCACGCGGCCCAAAGAGAAGGGGAAGGGGCATGTTTGAAGCACCCTGCCCGGGCGTGTGCGTGCGTGTCCGGGGTCAGCGACAACGTGTGCTGTCAGCTGAGCTGAGGGAGGGTGTTCGGAGTCCTCTGCCACGCAGGCACGGCGCCAGTACGGCAGTACGGCCCTCGCCATTGAGACGGCCAAGCGTGAGCCAATCAAGACGCGCGGATCGTGAGCTTCGACTCGGACCTGCTGCACCTTCTGGGGTCGCCAGAGTCCAGAGTCCACCGCGGTCCCCGTGGCCCCGACGGCCGTCGTGCCGTCGCCCGCAGTGGTGCCCGCCGGCCGCGGGGGCGACACCCACGCGCCCGGTGCTGGTCATATGCACCGAGAACAGCGTGGAGGGGACAGGCCCAAGAGCATGGTGCTGGCCAGTCTACAAGCAAGGCGAGCAGGCGCACTGCCACCCAGGGCTTGTCACTCGACCCCTTAAGTTTTCTACGCCAATCAGAGCTATTCTTATCTGCCGTCAACAAGACCTTCAACCTCGTCACCGTACATTGAGCGCTAGGTAGGAGCCGTAGGGTGGGCCGCCGGTAGAATCGCGGCCCCCTTGCCCTGCAAAAAGGGGCTCCGGGTCGGCCGGGTCCTGAGCATGAGACCACCTCGGCGCACTCCTTAGTAGCCACGCTCAGCTGCTAGTACGTGACATGAGATCCCCTGCGCGCGACCGCCACCCGTCCCACGACAGGAACAACCAAATCAATGATCAATCACTGACACAACTCGCTCTTGAATTGTTGTGCATCCAATAAACAGGATGGAACCATTTCAGTGGAGCAATTGGCTCCGCTATTGGTCAGATAAAAATTACACATGGAATTGTCGTTAGTTGCAACTTTTAATTGGAAATAAAAACAAATTAAATGCTGAAGTCATCAGCAGACAATAGATTAAGCCTAGCAATTTTACCAACATACTATTTGTCTTACTAAGTAACAAACAATGAAATTAACATTCCATCAAAGTGGGTAAAAAAAAAAGACAGATCATGAAAATTAGATCCATAATAAGTGGAGCTCTTAGTATAAAATAACATTGAAGAGGTGAAATACGGCCAACTACAAACTTGCGTTTGGGTCTGATGCTTGGTCAGATATGTCAAGCTCGCTATAAATAATTTGAGTGGAAATATTTATTTGTAATTAAGAGTTGTCTTTCTTAAAAGCACAATTAAAACTAGCTCCTCTCTTTCAGTAAGGTACCTAGCATAAAACACAAGAGTTGTAGAACAATGGTCACTTTTCCTAAAATTACAAATGTTAAAATCCCATGAAGCAAATTGCTATCAGATAAGTTTTACAAGTGACTAACACACAGATCTTTCACTGTTAAAACCTCAGGTAGCATAAAGTAGAGAATTGAATCTCATAACACCAAGTACGATTGAACAGGGAATAAAAAACAACAAAGAACGTATTAAGGTGGGGTATCAAAAGTATTAAAAGACTAATTAACCGCAGGTAGCATAAAGTACAATATTGAATCTCAAAACACCAAGTACGATTGTACAGGGAATAAAAAAACAACAAAGAACGTTTTAAGGTGGGGTATCAAAAGTATTAAAAGACTAGTTCACCGCAGGTAGCATAAAGTACAGTATTGAATCTCAAAACACCAAGTATGATTGTACAGGGAATAAAAAACAACAAAGAACGTGTTAAGTGGGAGTATCAAATAAGTAGGAGGTCCTGATGCGGGCTGGCATCTGGACGTCCCGTTTAGGTCTTTTGGATACCTCTTCTGACACATCGGGGCCTGTGGGAATAGAATAATTCCATATAAGTCTTAAGTGTACTGTAGAGGTTTACAAGAGAATACACGTCCTCAGAAAGAACAAAATGTCGTGCATTGTGAGGGAAGTTTCATTCCTTTTAAATTGCACTCAGTCACTGTAGAGAAAAAGAAAAGGATCAAGAATTCAAGATTTGCTTTTCAAGTTTTAAAGAAATCATTGAAAAAGTACTTGAAAGAAGAGAAGGAACCGACATTACCATACACATCCAGCGTAACATAACACATTCATGATGGCTCTACACAGTGGTCTAAAGTAGATTCGTTTTACCCAAGACCAAAAATAGAGTGTTACTAAAGGTGTTGAGACAAGAAAAACAGCAAGGAAGAATGCTATGTTACTATTGTTGCAGGTACAAACTCACCCAAAATTTACCAAGTTCATTGAAGAACTAGTATTCTCAAAAGAACAGTTTTGAGTCCTGAGAAGGACTGAAAGAGTCCTCAAAAGGACTGATGGCATCCTTTTTAAGGATTAGAACCTAAGAACCTAAAAGCAAACATACAACCCTTTATTATAAAATCTGTAAACATTCAGTCAAAATAACTCTAAATATGACAAGCAGAAAAGGTACATTAATACAACAACGAGACCACTGCTTGAAACACTTGAGCCATCTTTAAAGCTGTGTGTGCAATGGTTGCAACTGAATAAAGTGGACTAGCGAGAAGAAATTTTCAACTAGCGTGCCTGTTTGACTATGACACCTCCAATAAGTTTAGCAAAAATAGGCATAACTGACAGGTATTTGTTCAAGACCCACTTTTGAAGAGTGTTTGTTTCTCAACGAGGTATTAGACTATACTTAATTAAGTTTTGGACTGGTGAAACTACCGAAGAATAATAATTTAGAATAACAGTACAAGCAGCAACTGACATTGTCAGATATAATTGTATGCTTTCTAAATGGCATCTCTTAATTAACATTATTAAAATCGACACTTGAAACCTATACACACGGAGTTCGTGGAGGCTACGTATAAACACGCAGTTCCCAGGGGCTCGGTACAACCACGGAGTTCAGCAGGCCGCCGTATAGGGTCGTAACTATGTTTTTGGAAAATTTCGAGTTATGAAGTGCGTCGGATAGAGGAAACCAAGGGCTATCGGTCAGCGGAAACCTTATTTCGTTATGTTAATTAGTTCAAAAGTAATTCTGGTCTGAAAATCCAGCCGCCCATAAGGCGCAATGTAAATCCAAAACTTTGAAGCTCTATATCTCAGAAGTGACTTTCAAGCACT